TCTCATTGATACTTATACTTTATAGACCGGATGTAAAATGATTGTTTTAGGAAGAAGCCCAACTAATCTGTACGATAGATTGACCGATATTAGAACAGCAAGTGCTGAAGATGCATCCCAGTAAGCTATTACGAAACTCATTGTATTTACTTCACATCCAAAACACACATTATACACACACCCGCCCTTGCATACAAAAGCAACACACGCACACACAACTGAAGCCAGGCACGCACTCAGCCCCACGACGGTCATGCGCCCATGACGGCGAATGCATATCACTTCTCTGTGAGCGCTTGACGACGCGTTAGGACCAAATTATCTTTGGTAGGACCATCTCCATGGTAGGACCATTAGAACGTAGAACTTAATGACGTCACTAAAAGTCACCTGCGCATGCGAGAACGTTAAGCTCACCTCGTCGAGTAGATTCTGGAAAGCAATTTGGCCAAATCTACGTATGCAGAGAACGTAGGGCAGGTAGGACGGTCATGCATGAGTGATTCCGTTCAAGCGCCGTCAAATTACGTTCTACAATTCAAGCGAAGATGGGAAATTAACGTTCTCGCATGCGCAGATGAATCACAGATCCTTAGTATTGTAACGTGTTGCTCTGTTATTTATGTTTACTGTACACATATATTTTGCTTATCAATTAATAAATCCAGTTATAATTTCCTTAATATATCCTAGGCCATCGTATAATAATTTCTTGTAGATAAGCCACTGATATATAACAATGTTGAATTTTGCAGAACTCCACATTTTGATGCTATTATTGGTGTTGGTGAGAATAATAAAAGGTAACTTAAAAACAATACAGCTTTACTGGTTATAGGCCTGCCATTTAAAAACACATCCAAAAGCAACTACAAAAAGATTTTTTTTAAAGAAATAAATTAATTTTCTAATTCCTCGATTAAAAGGAGTTTTTTTTTTTTTTTTTTTTTAGTGAAACTTTTTATTCAAAATTCCATATCAAACTAATTCAGCGGTTTACAGACAATTTTAACACAAACATTCTGAAGTATAAGGCTATGGCAAAGGACATTTTAAACACCCGTTAATTTGCGCAGAACTTTGTTTTTATTATACTGTAAATTTCTATTTTTTAAATGTTCCAGTATAGGCCCTATATTTATTTTATGTGAATTCAATTCTATTTTTTTTATGTTTTATGTGAATTTATAGAATATTTAAAGTAATGGTTATCATTTACAATGTAAATGAGCCAATTTGTAGTTTGAACTGTAAAAGCCCTATCAAGGCCACTCGACGAACATACACACAATACATGCTTATGTCGATTGAACTTGGATACGGCATGCGCAGTTGAAACTATGAATAAACTTATTTCCTTAATTGCTCATCGATATGGTAAACTCGTTTTTTTTAAACACTTTTATAGCGGCACATACAACGTCAATGATATTGAGAAGCTTGGATCCGACATTAAGTTTATTGAACTCTTCAAACTCATAAGGAACCAAGTGACTTTCGATGATGACAGCGATATTTTCAGTACTTCAGTAAGAAATACATAGTACCATGTTGAATAAAAAATAGAAAACTAATAAAACTGGTTACTGTATAATATTATATAGATAGTATATACTAGGCCGCTACATACTGCTTGTGATTTACCGTAGCGTATCTACGGTGGTGCTCCGTTTGCCAGTTGGGGATGGGAGCCGTGGAGGCAGGGTGAGTTCGTTCCCCCATTCACCCCACTGAGAAATTTTGAAGCAAAATATTAGTAATACTGTATTAGTAATATAAAGTAGTTAAAATTCACTTTATATTACTTTAGTGGCGCCCCTTACATGTGAGATCCACCATCAACCCCACCCCGATTTCAAAACTTATAAATACGCAACAGGTAACGTCAGCATATATAATATGATTACACTAACTGGCGCTATAATAATTGCATAAATTTATCTGTGTAACATCGTTGTCAAAATTTCGCTTGTTGCACTATCTTTAAAGTTTGAACTTCAAAGTTCAAATGATGCATAGTAAAATGCAATAGACGTCACTTAATAGAATAAAGTGACATAATAGAATGCATTTATTTAATATGAATTCTGCATTATAAAATGTAAGAGAAGTCACTTTATAGAATAAAATAACATAATAAAATGAATTTATTTAATATAAATTCGGTATATATTCTAATACATATAATGTTACTAATAGTAGGCCTATGCCAATACAGTCGTTCGTATGTGAATTATATATTATTCCTGCATTCAGTTTACTGTTTTTTTCACCGGTGACAGGGTTCTACTGGAAAACCTAAGCACGTGGTTCACACACATTTTAGTATGATTAATGGAACCAGACCAATCTTTAATTACCTTGCAAGCATGCCAGATAAAGATAGAGGGGTAAGTACAGGGTGGCTCCATTGGGGAAAACACATTTCGTCGGGACTAGGGAGAAATATATTTTTACTGACTTTTTGACTCTAAAAGCATTTCAGTAATCTTTAAAATCCATCAGTTATGACAGCTTCCGAGCTTCGCATCCTGGACTCCCTCTGATTTATTAATTTTAGGCACATAACACATGCACACAGTAGCGAAATAATAAAGTATTGTCACCTACATGAAGGACAGTGGTATATTATATCACGACCAAAACAACTCCACCCCAAGAAAAAAATCCTGCACCACTGACAAGAATTGAACTCAGGAAATCAAGCATCCTAACCACTAAGCTATTCAACTCCACTCTAAGTAACCACTGACCACGCTTCTTTATTTTTTGTCTGGGACGTCGTCTCCTAGTCGGGAATTCCCCTCCTCCACCCAAAGGCGTCGATCTGTTGTGAAAAGAGGGGGGACAAATTGAAATATAAGAAAGTCTTGGGCCGTGGGCCCAAGCTTTGGCTGGGGGCTGGGGCCGCCCAGGGCCCCGGTGGGGTCCAGGGCGCGGAGGCCCCGGAAGCTCTGGCGTCTATAGTATCTAATTCATTTTAAGAAATGCAAGTCTAATTTATTTCCACACTACATTTTCAAAATACAGTGGCGGATCCAGAAATTCGAAATTAGGATCTGCCACAGAAATACTCATCATAATTGTTTTTTTTTTTTGTTTTTTTTGTTTTTTTTTGTTTTCAATTTATTCCGGTAATCATAATCATGCCCGCTTACATATTTCGTGCAAACTAACATTCATAAAATAATGATTTATCATCTACTGATTAGCTTGTTACGTATTCGATTTTTACAGTCTCCTTGCCTTTACAGTACTTTTAAAATCAATCAAGAGGTTTTTCCTTTTCTCCTCCTTTTGGATTTCACTTTTGTGCAAGTAGTTGCGACTGTGGCGAGGATTTTTAAACAATGCGGAACAACATCAGAGTGGACCCACCTTACACGTAAATTCAAATAATGTGGACCCATTTTTTCTTAACCTGACCCATTTTACGCAACAATATGAAAAATCTGGACCCATTTTAAAAAAAGTGGACCCATTTTTCTGGACCCATTAGAAAATTTGTGTGGGACTTTCCCAAGCGTCCCAATATGGGCATTTTTGCGACTACACTAATTGTGAGTGGAAATACTACCGTCTAAATTACGATCAAACAGGACTAAAGAGATAAGATGCTGACATTAGTTGGCATTTTCATTTCACGAACATATTAGGTGATTTACTTAATTTATCATTATCATGATGTCATGGCAAGATTGCGTCAAGTAACATCGGAGTTCGTAAACTCGTGGTATCACACTTGAATAATTCGAAATAGACATACCTATCTGTGTCTAAGCTGTATACTTATAGTTTGATATTATGGCTTTAAAACATTCAATTGACTAACTATATTTTTTTTAAACTAGGAACAACTGGAATCTGTATGCAGATAATATTGAATACTAGGTCTCAATAATATACAAAACGAATAAATCGTTTATAGTAGAAATTGTGCACTTTTGAGTTTTTTTTAAATGTTGGCCTAATTGGTTTACACGCTTCCAATTTCTTAACAACGTACAGTACATTATTTTCATAATAAATTTAGCCGTTGCACCCATAAAGTCGGTGGAGTGGTTTACTGAGATGGTTACGAAATGCACAAACAATTACGGTTTACTCAGTATTGTTCCGGAAATACGCACCGCACTTGAAACAGAGCACAAGTATAAGAGACAAAATTCAAGACAGTCTTTCGTAATTGTTGTTGTTCTTTCCACTCGCTTTGAAAAGTGGGGTTTTAACAATACAAAATATTGATGAAAAGTGGCGGAGGGGGGGGGGGTGACAATTGGCATGATATACCCCCTACTTTGAAAAGTTGAGGGACGTGTTTACCCTGTCCCCACCGATCGACGCCCATGCCCCTATCTCGTTTGGCAAATCCTGATGCCACCACTACGCTGCAAATTAAAACAAAGCATTAGTTTGAAGAAGAGTTATTTTAGATCAATGAACAAGAAAGAGAACATAATTATTGTGTATCGCCAATGTTCCATCGAATTACTAATGTTTAAGAATTCATTAAAGTAGGACTAATACAGAGACTAAAGAAAGAAAAATTATACAAGAAAAGAGAATAAGCAAGGAAGGGGACAGTATATTGACACTTTTGCATACAGTATTTATTAACTAACAAAGTTATGAATTTATTGAGGTACAGTAATGAAACCAAAAATGAACATACAAGAAAAGATCTTTAGAGAGGGCTGACAAGAAAAAAACAAAATAATTAATAGGCCTATACTGTATAAAATCAAAAACTCTGTTATAGTTTCTGTAAATTTCTTTCATCAGAATCGAAGAGTATTTGCGCGTAATTCAACTCATATTAGTGGAGAAGCAAGTGGGGTGATGCCCCCACTTGTAGCTTCTATGACGTCAGTGTTTGCGCCCTCAGTGTATGACATCAGACGTATAGTGGAAACAATTCAGGACGAGAGGTATATATTTCTTCTTTTTTTTACAAAGGAGTATGGCTTAAGAAAGTATAATACATACTCCAAATATTGAAATACCACGCCATCGTGTTGGGATTCAATATCTCGACATTAATTATGTCATCATCAGGAATGAAAAATTATCCATATTAGCAAGCTTATATGCACTAGTACCAAAAGTGTTTAACCAATCAAAACATTACCTCTAGTTGGTGACATAGCAGTGATTTAAACAAGAGATCAAAGCATTCTTACTCTAATGATCAAATACGTATAGCGAACGATTCTTTAAACAATAGGATAAACTAGTGTTGGGAGCTGTCAATAATGTTATTACTACTAGAAAATATTAAACCTAATTTATTACTTACATTACAGACGACATTATCATTTTCAAGTATACCCTGTAATCCTAAAACAAATTGGAATGCCTCACACTTTTTAACATGATGAAATATAACACTATCAGATCGTGAAGAATGATCGTGAAGTCTAGTTATTAAGCACCTATCTATCTTACCAATATAATCACTATTGCAGCCTGGACATTTAAAATGATAGACAAGAACTTCTGTACTCCTTGGGGTTTGATCCTTAGTAGATATAAAGTATGGCTTCGTTTACAGCTTCAGTTTGTATTCATTGGTTACAAAGATTGCTTGTGCTACCATTGTCATCATACCTAGACTAGACCTTATAAAGGGTCCTTTCTAAGACCTGTCTTTACGATCATAATATTACCTGCAAACGTTGAAGGTTTCTCTGGAGACGATAAGAAAAGTGAAAGAAGTGGTTTCCATATAAACAGATGTTCTAAATCAGAAACATAAAGAAGGTAAACAGATTTTTCTAATGACCCATCAGTCCAATTACTATGAATGTTGCTGCATTCCAATACACCTGCAACCAACAACCCATCTGCAACGACGAAAATAACAAATAAAATACACTTGTAAAAATACAAATGTAAATACAAATACGCATACGTAACTATTGCTACTACGAAAGAATATATAGTTCTAGTACTGTACTCTTTACTACGTTGGCTTAGGCCTCACCAAAATATGAGGTGCAATAAATTCATAATCTACTACCTAATAACTTTACTCTTACTCACAAAATATAAAAATTATAAACATTTTATAATAATTATTAAATAAGCTTATTGTTTTAAAAGCGTAAGTAAAATGTTTATAATTGTTTTAAAAATATTTGATCACGACTTACTCTCGAGTTACCTCTTCAAAATCAGGACTTGGCAAGTCGTTATTTGCCCCAATCAACTCAACCACCAAACTATTCAACTCCATTCCTGTAATTAGTCATTCAATAATTCCTTCTTTTTTATCGAAGGTGTACAGAAACAATCCTTTTAATCACTGGTCTGTACGACCTATGCAGCTTCAAAGATATTGGTGAATATGACCTATCCTCTCTCAAAGTATGTACGTATCTAGAAAATTTAATTTAGTTTCATGTTTGTATGGTTACATATGAATTTGTTATAAATGTTGCTTAGGAACAATTTGTATCTACCTTTTACAATTATGCTGTGTATTTTTTTATTACCTTTAATAACCTTGAATATTTACTGATAAATGCTGATCATAGTTACGCTAATTAATGTGACAGGGCATATCGAAAGTGTCAGAATAGGTACGTTTTAAGTTATATTTCAGTTAAGTATATGCACGTAATTTAAAGGCGTGAAATATCTTATTCTTAAGGCCATATTTGATGATGTTTACATTACACATAAAATAGGGGAAACATGCAGTGGATATACTTCATATTATGCCTATATTAACTTATATCGCATTTCATATATTTTTTTATAGGCGTAGTCGGAGGATCAAACATCCCTCCTGAACTTGCTGAAGACTATGAAAACAAATTTGGTTCCAAAATTTTCGTAAGATCTTTGTTTTTTTTTTCTGTATTCATCAAAAATGCACGAAGATGTGAGTGGAATTAAATTTTGAATTACAACACAACATTTATTCAATAAATTCTATTTGCCTTCAGATTCTTTACGGTTCAACTGAAATGATGTTTCCAGCAGGTAGTTTTTTGGATTTAATGGATAAGCGGCGTTCTGGAATCCGAATGCTGCCAAATGCAGAGGTGAGCGCAGAGTAAACTTAAATTTGGAGGGGTCCCTAAATGGAAGAAGTCAATTCCGAGAGACTTGGTTAAATAAGCGTGTGGTGTGTTTCCGTGGGGTAATTACTGTAGATTAATGTACAAACATGTAAATTATGAATCTGCTAGAGATGGGTTATTTTTTAGAAAATTATTGCTTACTTGCGGGAAAGCTGTAAAGCCATCCAATTTCTTTTGGAAGACTGGGACTTCATGAAATTGCTCCAATTGTAACTTTTGTAAAATTAAGAGAAAACATTTAATGCCATTTAAAAATAAAGTTTAGAGTTTACTTTCAGATACAATTGGTTGATGACAAAGGAAAGTGTGTGCCAGTTGGAAGTGTTGGTGAAGTGTGGAGCCGTTCCAGCTCTAATTTTCAAAGATATTTAAAAAATGAAGAACAAACAAATGCAGTAAAATCACATGGATGGTTTAAAACTGGGTAATTGTATTTCACTAATTTCATTACCACTCAGTAAATGTTATAAAAATTTATCGAATTACATGAAGTCCGACTGTTGAGGTTTAATTGAAACTGAATCCTATCTTTTGCAATTATATTGTCATATTATCTTTAATGCTAGCCGTGTATGGTTCACACGTTGACTGCCAATCTGTCCAGGTCTTTTGTAAACTGTAGTACTTCGACGGATGATGGCTCTTTTATAATTTATCCCCGCTGTTGTTTTAAAAATCTTGGGAACATTCTTACCACAATACAGAGACAAAAATATGTCATTTTTCGCAGATCGTAGACTGTAGATATCAGCGAGATTTAATTCCACATCCCTACTAATTTACTCTCTCCACTAAATCTTTTTTAATAACACCACATTATAGTATTTTTTTTTAGCTTTTCTCACTTTACCTCGTTGATTGTTCAAGTTTCACACCCATCTATTGACTATTGTCACGTCAAATAGCCCTTCCTTCGTGAAACTGTTTTTCTTCGGGTGGCAATTAAATTTCTCATCTTTACAAAATTATTTTCCTAAATTTTATTCCCTTACCAAGCATCAGAAGTTAATTCACTCCTAAGATTTCAAAATCTATTTACCTGATTTATGACTTTCTAGGCCTATATAACATTTAGGGATAAAGCTGTTTAAACACCGTTACTCAAGTAGCTTTACTCAGTGGCGTAGCTAGAGGTTTTTGCGCCCGGGGCAAGAGTAGAAAATTGCCCACCCTTCCCCCCGATTATAATTATAATATTTTGAAATAAATTGATATTGGTTGTATAGACTTGGCATATCCGTACCACATTGTCTAAATAACATTATTTAACCCGATTATTATTTTAGCTCTCATGTTCTTTCTTACCAAGGGTGGCAACAGGATTTGCCCGAGGAGGTCCGATGTCCCGGGGGGAGATGCCCCGACGAGGGAGAAGATTTCCTTGACGAGAGCAAAGTGGGCGTGATCTAGCGTCGCTTAAAATCTTCCAAAAGTGGTCTTTGGAGAGGGGTGGGGTGAAGGGGGGGGGGGGTTGCAAGCCTTTGAAAATGTTTTCGACAATTTATGTGTTTCAAAGGCTTATTTAATCGCTTTTAGAATCTGCTAATATGTACAAAATACATATAATATATTTTTTCTCCACAACGAATTATGGTTTTTTTTCTCGACGGGTGGGGAGAGGTTCGCAGCTATCCCCGAAGGGGGCCTGGCGCCACCCCTGTTTCTTACTCTTGAAACTACATTACTATGTTTCAAAACTTTATATACGACTTTCCATTATCCTAATGTGATAAGGCTGTTATATCTATTGCAGCTTACGGTAGTATTCTAAATTATTCTCTAAATTTATCTTATAATAGAATCTTGTAAGCTGCTAAATTTTTAACATTGTTTAAACTCGCAACTGAATTTTGTGTGTTTTGCATCAGCAAATAAGTTAATAACATGATGAAAGTTAGCAATTGCTTCATCACGCTCAATATTAAGTAGTGTCATAGCAGATAGTGTCGCTTTTCCCATCGTGGCTCTGAGATATGGCAGAATAAGCTTTAGTCATGTACTCATTACAGATTAGGATAAAAAACAAGAGAAAACGGTAGAAATGGACGGAAAATAAATCACAATCTATACATTTGTCACTTAAAACAACTACATTCAGATTCTTATTATTATTCATGCTTGACGACATAAATCAATTTCGTCGTGATTTCTAAAAAGTGCTCATTTTTTACTCTCGTTCTCCCATTTCAGCTCCCCAAACCTGGCGCCCGGGGGCATGTCCCCCCTCACTTGACCCCTCCCCATTACTACGCCACTAGTTTTACTCATTTATCAAAAGTCCTAATTCCAAAATTGTTTCCAGCAAAACGTCTATAAGCGATTTTAGTGTTTAGAATTCACTGTATATCAATTAATTAAGAAGTCTTATAAATGATCGATTTGAAGTTTTTTGGTGTAAATTACACTAAGGATAATACACGAAAGTCCGAAGACGCCGGTGGGGTTCTTTTGATGGTGAATAGAACTTTCCAGAATGTCAACCAACTGATCCATCATAACCGCGCCAGAAATACGCACATGTCTAACAAGCACACGTGTTGTTTTACAAACGCACGTCTTTGCGTATGTTTTAACCGCTTTTCTTTGTGGGACGTAATCAACAACATTCAAGGGGCGCAGCTTAGCGGAAAAGTACATCGGACAGTACAACAAGAGATAATTTATTACTTTTTTTAGAAGAGTTTACTGCGTTCGCGTATGGCACACGAAATCAACAGCAAAACTCGCATTTAAACAACCCACACAAGTAGAGTAGAATTCTTTCTGTGTGGGTAAGAATTAGGCATGAGAACCTTGAATATCTTAATACGTTAATTTGCCTACAACTCAAAATCTTTTCAATATGTATTGAAAATTCAGTCCACGCTATCATACTACATATAACATTATATGTGACAAGTACGCAAATGTGATATTCTTATACCATGGGCACATCCCACGAATTTGTCACATACAATTCGATAGCCTTGCCAAGAAGTTTATATAAGGAACATGTTCTGTCATTGACCACACTGTAAAGATTTGATAACTGAAAACGAAAACGCTTGTTGTTTATATACCCACACCTCTTGGCAAAATACATTACAGTGCAACCCCTCCAATGAGAATTAGTTGACTTGAATTGTTTATATCATTTGACTAAATTTTCAGTGACCTTGGCGTTTTTGATGCGACTGGTGCTCTTGCAATAGTAGGTAGAAAAAAGGTAATGTAAAATTCTATTAGGATTTTGGGTTCTGGCCAGATCACATTTTCTTTCACCAAAAAATCTTTCGTATGACCATATTAATTTTAGTAATGATGTCGTGTCATCATGATTATATTTACGCATGTTACATATGTTTTGCCATAGTAATTAGTCTTGACTAGACTTCAGCGCTCTTCACAGTCAATAAAACCACTAATTATTTGAAGCACACGATTTAAACGGTTATAGTATTGAAAAACTTAAAGGAAAAAAACTTCAAAAATTTGGCAAGTGCCTTACCCCTGTCCACACTCTCAAATATTAGGCCTATGTATTATGTTGAAGGTATTTCCCGCACGATTACAATCGTAACGGTACTGGGTTTGGTCTACAGAAGATTGAAAAATATTAATCTTATTACTGTAGTAGTGATACTATGTACACGTTTATATTATTGTTATTATTCGTTAACGTTATTATATATATATATTTAAACTTGAAGAATTGTTTAAGTATGAATTACTATGTCCATGTTAAATTAGTCTTAACTTATCTATTAAAATTGTATATTTAAATAATATAGTAATAATCATAGCCGAGTATAAGACCTAAAAATGGTCCAAAATCGTATTATGATTTGTTGATTATAATACTATTTTTTGTATCCGCAGGATGTGATAGCAAGGGGTGGGGCAAAGATTTTGCCTGCCGACATCGAGAATGTTCTCTCAATACATCCATCTATAGACCAAGTTCAGGTTGGTAATCTCATCTCAAATACATCTCAAGTATTTTGGGTTTTTTTTTACCTTTTATGCACGGTCCCTCATCTCTATCGAAAATCACCTTATTTTCTGACCTAGCGCCCCCTCAATTAGTTATTAAGCCCTCCTTCTCACCCCACTTTCGCCCCTCCCCCTCCCAATTTGAAGACTTATTCCCAGATTATAGACACGTGGTTCTAAGAAATTATGTCGATATTGTAAAACATGTAGGCCAACATCTACTGATTTATTTTTCAACTTCAACTTTATTTACGTTTATTATTTAACAAATAACATTATAAAAAAATATGAACAAATTCTAATGAAAAAAAAAAACGACAAAGCATGAAAAATAAATATGCATATATATATTAATATAAAGATGAAAAAAGGTTTATCAGTTATTCAATAACAAAATATTTTGACAAATGAAATCAGATGACGTCATGATCATGGAAAACATTAAAATCGTAGTAAGAGCAACGATTTTATCGTTTTTCCATGATTATGACTTTACCTGATTTGATTTGTCAAAATATTATGTTATCGTATACACGATAAATCGTTATCGAATCGTCCTAGCGTAAAAACTTCTCTTTTTTTTTTTTACTTTTTCTTTCTTTCTTTTTTTTCTCTTTTATTTTTTATTTGAACAATTGCTTTTTAGCTTTGTTATCGCTATCGTTATCGTTGAAGTATAAATAAGCCTTAAGGGTGTCACAAACATTATAGAAATCATTTACATAATTCAAAAATAAGACAGGTCCTTAAACAGACCCTTGGCACCACGCAAGATATACGCCTTGCAGATGATTGCATAAATTTAAATGAACACGTTACTTAATGACTATCAAGATAACTTTTAAACCATTGATAAAGAATACATCTGATAACATATAATACGAAAGTTTAGAAAGTAATACAGTATGCTTATTATGATCAACAACGCCAAAGGTCTTGGGTAAGTCAAGACAATACTTCAAGTTTATTTGTTATTTTCAAAAGATTATGAATCGAGTTAATTAAATAAAGTATTGCATGACTGGTAGAGTGGTGTTTTCTGAAGCCTAATTGGCGATCTGTTAAAATTTTGTTGTAATACAATAATTAAAAAGTCCAGATGAATTAATTTGTCAATAATATTTTAAAAGACATAACATTGATAGGATTGTAATTTAATTGTGAATTAATTTTTAAGTTGAATATCCTTTTTAAACATAGGAACACTTTTTGCCAATTTTAACTGAGCAGGTACATAACCAGTATAATCAATTACATGAGTTAAATGACTTAAATTAAGTGTGGAATATGTTTTAATACTGACCATGTAATATTATCATATGTAAATCTCTTTTTTGAATCAAGCCCGTTTAATATATCCTTAACCTCTGGTTCATATACAGGTGAAAGAAAGGAGGAAGTTGGTGGGCGACCGGTTAAAAATGAATGTGGATTTATATTGCAATCAGGCATGGAATTATTGACGGTAGAACAAATTTCAGGAAAATATATTAAAATGTTCTCATCTTGTTTTCGTTTATGAAGCACTTTGAAATGGCGAGAAAAATGCTTTTAAGAATAATAGATACGAAACTAAACAAACTATAAATATAACATCAACATAAAATATACAGTTAACAAAATTATAATTAAATATAATCAATAAATTAAATATAAAATCACTTCTTGTCAAATAATAACATGGCGAGATCTGGTAGGCCTTTACCAAATCAAATACGCGGAGCTCCCATCAAAGAAACATCGTATGTTACGATAATAAGACAAAGGCCTGTTACTGTCGAATGACTATGCATTGAATACTACTGTTTGTCCTACACATCTATATGTAAATTTCAGTATACGCGTGAGTGATATCCATTAATGTATATATCAGGTATATTTCTATATATGTTTATGTGTAATATGTGGGTGGGGATATGTGTAAATATCCACACCCACAAATACATATATATATATATATATATACTGTCTCTTATA